AATCAGTCAAGGAAAAGGACAATTCTGAACTAGAAACCGTAAGTGGTCCTGGACGAAAGTTTTTGGCATAGAAGCCGAAAGCCACTCCTGACAGGTAAATGAAGGCATCGACAACAGAGTGTTGGATCTGGTCAAAGGCAGAATCTAACAGACTAGATCCTTGGCATTGAACAACAGCTGTGTCACGTAAAAGATCAGATTAGATAATAAACGAGACATATTTCCTCCGAGTCATATGGGAACAGCAGAACAGCGCCCTGTGTCTCCTAATATATACACAAACGAAACCCCTATAGGGAAACATGAGGAAGTCCTGACGGGGTACCTAGTTAGTTCGTAATATAAAATACAATCATTCCTTCAGAGGTCATTTCTTAAACCAACTCTGTTTCTAATTCACATATATGCTTATGAGTATACACAAATCATTTGTGGATATCTATGCTGATGATACAAAGATATATGGGCGCCCCTCCAAAACACGTGACGACCAGCTGATCTCTCATCCGATCTCAGTGGGGAGGGAACTGACTGGTTACATTCAATACCTCAAAAACCAAACTAATTATATTCCATCACCGCCGATCGGACCCCGAACTACCACCAGTCACGATGAATTAATGTTCCCTCAGGGAGGACTCGTACCTTGAGCCTCTATTGTGCCTCACACTCAAACCAGGCCTCAAGTGGAACTCGTATATACTATCTATCGCTAACGATACAGGGAAAACGGTAGTTTCCGTGTACCGCTCCAGCAAATACCTAACTCTACTTACTTTACCTTTACAAGATACAGATCAGGCCTAAAATGGAGTACTGTTGACATATTTGCACAGGAGCCGCCCACTGCTTACTTTCCAGGTTCAACAAAATCTAAAAGCCTCCTCACGTCATTGTGGGTGACAAATTATTTTCTACCCTGTAATTCCTCTTACTGCTCTATCGCTGTTTCGATAAAAGGGCTCAGACGAAATACATTCCATAGTTTCACAAGTTCCAATCTTCACGGCTAGGACCTGCCATGCTACGCGTATTGAAGTGAACCGCCATCATTCCCTTCATATTCCATTGGCGAGATTTAAGATACACTCAAGCAGAGGATGTTTACCCGATCACTACAATAATTAACTGTTCAGGCCTAGGGTTCATCATTATCCTCCCCTGATATCCGCATAAACTATTACTATAACACTGTAATCCCCTCGTGTGGCTCTCAGGCCTTGTACAGGGTGAACCGCACTGTAAAAAAATAAATTCCGTATCTGGTTAAGCCATATTTAATTTTATTTGGAAAGAAGTGACCTTCATTTTTATTTATTCTTTTGCAATGTTTCACCTTGCTCAATCTCCGGTCTTCTTCTCTCAGATCCC